GGTTCGTGCCCCGGTCCGGGAAGATCCCACATGCCGCGGAGCGGCTGGGCCCGTGAGCCATGGCTGCTGAGCCTGCGCGTCCGGAGCCTGTGCTCCGCAACGGGAGAGGCCACAGCAGTGAGGCCCGCATACCGCAAAAAAAAAAAAAAAAAAAATTTAAGAATCCATTCCAATCTTACCCTCTACGAAGTTATACATTTGTTTTAATAAAAGTGTTTTCCCCACAAATCTTTGAGAAAAATGTTCTAAGAGGAACATTTTGCCCATCTATGTCGTGGCTTCACACCTCCCTCACATAGACAGCCATACATTCCCACTACAAATACATACCCTGCTTTGATTATAGCAGGTGATACCCCAGGAAGAGGTTTCAGAGGCAGATCGAGGGAAATAAATGCCTGGCTAGCACTTTGCTATTCCCCAATTCTTCTCTGCAAAATCTCTGCCTTTGATAAGGCCCAAAAACATTGTTAGCATTTATTTTTCCAGGAGGAAATGGACTCATACCACTTGACAGAACGATTAACACCTAAGGAAACAAGTTATAATGCTAGCTCTAACTTCACACAGACAAAAAGACTACTTCCCATACTGGAATCGTTCTAATTGTATTCTGAGGCATAGTTTAATCCAACTTAAAACTGTAATTAAAAATCGTAGCCATCTAGTGTCTCAGATGTGACTGCAAGTTTTCCAAAGGCTTTAAATCCAATCATCAAGATACCAAAAGAACTGTACTGAGCTTTTTTCCGCTGTACCTATGGATATGTTCAGAAATATTTTTTTTTAAGACATGAATTAAGGCTCTAAACTTCCATGCTATATCCCCCAACTATGAAATGTCACTTGGGAAAGAAACTGTCAGACAGTAAAGGTTTCCTGGTAGTCACCCTAATGAGTGACAGGTATGACCTTGTACATTTCTCCCCCTCTTTGCCCCAAATTCTGTTCCCATTTACGATAATGTTACGCTGGGGTAATTCATTCATTAAAATATTTCTGGCTACTTTTGCAAACCTCTTGTCCTGAGAACCAGGGGAATTTATTTTGGACTGACTGACAAGAATGACTTTGGTTTTGACTATACTAACGACTACATCCTTAAACAAACACAAATAACAGAGGAGCTTCAGCCCAGAAAATAATTTCCCCTAAACTTCTAAAGAAACTGGCAATGGGATGATTTCAAAGTTTGAACAATTTAAGGACTTCTGAATTTAAGAAGACACCTAAACTCAAAATAGGAAAACAAAAACATACAACTGAACAGTTAGCATTTTCCTTTGTCATCGGATCTAAATGCTCATCCTGGCACCTACACAAAGAAGTAATGATTCCACCAGCAGCCTAACAGATGGCAGGCACAAAATGGCTCTAACCTTCTCTGAGAATGCCGCAGAAGAGCTCCATGAAGTTGAATTTAGCAGGAGGGGGGCTGCTATTTTCTCTCCGTTACCTCCTGCACAGCATGGCCGTCCATAGCTCAGAGCACTACATCTTAAGGTCTGGAAGTACAGTTACTCAGTTTAACCCTTTCAGACAAGTAAGGGTCTTGAGTTATTATGGAATCCTTTTTCTGCACGGGATTCTGTTCCAGCAAATACAACCCAAACTTTTGATCATAACAAAGCAGGCTGAGCATGGTGAAATATTTTTAGGCTCTCTTTTCTTCTATTAGCATTTAAGAGACACTGGAGCACCTTTTTCTTAGACAGTGAATTATATTTTTCTTAAGGACTAGAGGCAAAACATTAGAAAAAAAGAGTTCTCGTATTGCAAATTCCCTCTGCCAGCTAGCTTAAGGATAACCCCTTTTGGGAGAACAAACATTACTTCTGAAGTTGACAGAATTGCTGGCCATGGCATCAGGATCACCTGGGGAGCTTGATGCATTCCTCATGCAGAGGCTGCAGCCTAGAATCTCAGGGGGTGGGATCCAAGCATCAGTATTTCTGAAGCTCCTCAGGGGGTTCCAATTGGCAGCCGAGGAATGTAAGAAATACTGCATGTTAAAAATTAAATACTGCATTTTAAATTTCTGTCAATTGTTTCTGTAAGTTAATTTTTATTCTGAGTCCTCACCACACTGGGTTTGTCATTCTTAGGACTCTATCCCTCTATCTGCCTCAGTCTCTCCAAGGCTCATGTTAAGGTTCTGGCGTCTGCAGGATTAGCCAGAACTAGTTAGCATGACCACCCAGACATCAGGGAAACAAGACACTGATACTGCAGCCCTGAATTCAGGGACGTCCTCAGGTCAGGCTGTAATAGAACAGTCTGAAAGTAAAAGACTTTTATGCCAGAAAATCCTGCACTCTGCAGTCATTGTGCACTGTGTGTGGCTCAGATGAGAAGGTGGTCTCATGCAGGGCAGCTCCACCTTTCCGTATATAAGGCTGAGGCTGGAGAGAACCCGTTATCTTCCAAAAAGGTATGAGGTGCCCCCCACTAATTCAGACATGATTACACAACCATGCAATCTGCTGGTGAGGCTCTGGGGCCATCAAGCTCTGCATTTTGTGCTAAGCCCTCCATTATGCTATGCCTCCTGTGCTATTTTCTGCATCCTTTAAGCAATCATGGTGTGATTTACCCAAGAGGTAAATGTGTCTGATCTTACCATCAATTGGTGCCCATTACTGCCCTCTGTCAGTACAATGAAGGTGCAAGCCTCTTGGAAACCCACTGGATCAAGTCAAAAGAGAAGACAAATCCTGCCTTTCTCTTGCATGCAGCAGGTGCTCAGTAAGTGCTAGATGAACCAAGGACTCTACCCCTAAAGGCCCTCAGGCTCTAACAAAAGAAAGGCATCAATAGGGCTTGGACAAGGCACTCTGGAAACCAGGCACAGAAATCCACTCGCATACATTTAAGTAAAAGGCGGACAAATAAAAGGATAAAGGCAAATCTCACAGAAACCAAGTACAGAAGGTAGAGCTGAGCCTCACAAGCAGGTCAACAAGCAGTTGCTCTGTCTCTCCCTCCCCCTTTGGGACCCCATGACTTCACACCACTGTTTGTGCTTCATTTCTTCTTGCTCTGCATATCCTGGTCCTTTGCTCCATTAGCACATGGCCCATCCTGTCACCCAGTAAGAGCAGCTTCTGCTTAATTCTGGGAGAAACGTTAACGGCTCAACTTGGGGGAAGCGGGGAGCTAACATCATCTGGCTGGTATAACACTCTTATCTGGGGCTGCTGAAAGGACTAGAATCACTACTACAAATGATAAACACAAGCTCTGCCAGGTGATGTGATACCCTCAAGAAATTAAAATTCACACATAAATATTAGTTGTGACACCTTTATTTCAGAATGACGGCAGGATTGAATTTCACAGGTATACAACTGATTTATAGCTCTAGATCACAGTAACACTGAATCAAAAACACTTTATCCTGCACAGAAACTTGGCACAGAAATGTTCACTTATAATCTACTTACGTTTCACATTATAAAACTGGACATATAAAAACACTAACACAGCTGGGGAGACAACAGCTTACAGATCTAAGTAAATCATTTGTAGCAATATCTCGGTTATCTTGAGGTCACAGATCAGACAACTGCAGTTGAGGATGAGGAAGTAAGTTAGAGGAAGTAGCAGAGCCACTAAAATAATGTCACCAAGTCAATGGAGCAACGTTCATCCATTTCACTGCTAAAAAAAAAAAGCCTCCCAAAGACTGACTCAGCTCCTGTTTACTGTTACTTGACATACAGTATGCAATTACAGCAATTCCCAACTCCATATAGTAAAGGAGAGCAAAGTTCCTAGAGACAGGCAGAGTTAAGGAAGAGAGAAACGACAGGGAACAGTGACGGAAAAGAAGAAACTATGAAAACCATGGCAAAACTCAAAGAGCAGAGCCATTCAGTGAAGGGGCTTTAACAAACCTAAATAGGACCTGAAAGAATTCAAAACAAATGATGACTCTGAAATGACTTCATTATCTTCAGTAGATTCTGTTTGCAAAAGCAGGGAAATGTATACTAAATTAGGAGGAGGCTCAAGAGGGAGGCAATATGGGGATATATGTATACGTATAGCTGATTTACTTTGTTGTACAGCAGAAACTAACACAACATTGTAAAGCATTTATACTTCAATGAAGATGTGAGAAAAAAAAAAGAGCTCCGTGTAAATGGCAGAAATAGAGCAAAAAAGATGTGAGACTTAAAAGAATAACCTTGAGTCAGCTATACCATGCACCCACGATGTCTGATAAATGAGATATTACTACACAGGTACTGCTTATAAAATACACAAAGCAATTTACATCAAAAGAATATAGCACCTTTTTTATCCCCACGATTGAAACCATAAAAGCCCGTTCATGGTAAAAGCACCTCAACCATGTAGGGATAGCCTCAGTCAGCTTCTCTGTGCATGAGAACTTTATATTATGTCCTGAGTGATCAGCTATATTGATCAGTAGGCCCAACTGACTATAAACCCTTCTTAAATGATAGAAGACACAGAGGCCACAAACACCTCCCCTAAATCACTGTTTCTCAAAATCTGGTCTGCGAAACAGCACAACCAAGACTCCTGGTGAACTTGTTTTAAAATGCAGATCCCCGAGTCCCAAATGAAATTCCATGAATCAGAATCTCTGGGGGAGGCCCTGGGAACCTGCAGTTGAGCCCACCTACCCAAGGATTTCTGGTACAAGTAGAAGCCTGGGAATCACTGTAATACATCCGCACCTTCCGTGTGTAGGTTCAGCAACCCAGTCAGGAGGAGACTGGTCAGATCTGTGAATTAACCCTTCCCACCCTTGTTCCTAATGCACCCAGTAAGGCTATACTCCCGGTTTTGACATTTTATAGATAATCAAATTACATGTGGACTTCTAAATGTTTTATCACAGGAAGAAGATTCTGACACATAATAAAGTTTAACAAGCCCTAACTAATTTTAAAAGGAGCATACGATTTCTAAGCCATATATGTAAAACCTGAAGTAATGGATGCCCGCAAGCAGGGGGGTGGGGGGGGTGGGGGGCGGGGAAACTGAGGATAAGTGTCTGATGCAAGTTCAGAGGATTGCTTGGGAATGGGGAGGAAAATACATGTAAAAGCAGTCTTGGAGGAGAGGCAGAAAGCAGCGTACAACCAGAATAGGGAAACGCTAATCTCTTAAAAGTTGGCTGAGATGTTTAAGCTGGTCCTTAACACTCTTGAAGCAAAGGCTGGAAACTACTGGCAAACGTGTTTTGTTTGGCAGGCACAATGTTTTAAACAATCCTGAATTCGTTACCAACACATAAAAATTGGGTGATTTCTTTCTTTTTTTTAATACTATCTTTTCCTGGAAAATTGGAAATTGGAAGAACTAGAAAAACCAGCCACTTGGCAACACTGTGCTGGAGCCGGGCAGCAGCTGCCCACCTTTCACCACAGCCACGTACTCCTGGGGTCTCCCCACTGGCCGCCAGCCTGCTGCACACATCACTTCACCTGCCAGACCCCTGCAGGCATTTGCACTGGCCACGTCAGCTTCAAGGAATTAAGGCAAAAAATCAGCCTCTCTGTGCTTCACTCTAACAATAATTCTTACTACAAAGATACTTTCCTACCTTGGAGATGTGAAGAAAGCAATCAGATAATATCTGCAAATCACCCAGAACTGTAGTGTTCGCTGGCCATTGGAATCACCTAGGGAGCTTTAAAAAATACTGCTGACTGGGTTCCACCCCCAGAGATTCTGACTTATTAGTCCCAGATGTAAGGTAGGCAGCAGGAGTGCAGAAAGCTCCCAGGTGGTTCTAATGGACAGTCAAGGTTGAGAACTGCTTTCACAGAATGCAAGTTGTTGAGTATGAAGGGTTACATTCATTCTTTCTTTTTTTTCTTTTTTTTTTGGCTGTGCCAGGAGACTTGCGGGATCTCAGTTTCCCAACCAGGGATTGAACCCAGACCCTGGCAGTGAAAAGCTTGGAGTCCTAACCATCAGGCCACCAGGGAACTCCCAGAATTACATTTATTCTAACGTCAACCTCCAAGTACAGATTTCTCCCCTCTCACCTCTGTGATAATTCACATCACCTTTTATTTGTGTAAATGCGCTCTTATTCCTAAAGCCTACCAAATGCCATTTACAAACTGGAAAAAGGTCAAAGTGTTTTCTGGTTTCTACCATTCATTTTCCCTCCAACACAACTGAAGAATGAAACACTAAGGAAATGAAGGGAAATTATCCTAAGACACAAAACTCAGGCAGCACAAACAGCTCAAATGCAATAAGAGGAGCTCACAGTGGCAGGCTTGTATTAAAGTTTAAAAAAAGATAAAGAAAAATAAATTTAAAAAAACAATTGCTTTGAAATTCATCATTCACTAAATGGAAAATTTTTCAAATATTAAAAAAAATAATAATTTCCCCAGGACTTTCCAGTAATGGCCCAACTTGTTTTAACTTAAGACAATGAATTCCAAATTACTGCCCCTCTTCAAGCTTTCTTTTAGGTAGTGTGCATTTACATTTTGGCTTTGGATCATGGGGAATGCAAACTACCGTCACCTAATTTTCAAACAATACTACTACATTACCTAACGTTAGAAAAGTATATTTCCAAAATGGTTTCAAGTACTAATAATAGCTTCTATTTATTTCTGTGTACCAGGTAGCATGCTAGGCACTTTATCACATGATCTCCAATTGTTCCAACAGCCTCATAAGGTTAACTCTACAATCCCATTTTATAAACCTAAAAAAGGAATCTAGGAAAGATCTTTAAGAAAGATTTTAAATTACATACGTAATCACCAAGCTGCTGCGTGGCCCTGCTCAGATTCAAACCAGAGTCCTTCTGACTCCCAAACCTGTGCTTTTCGTACCAAACAACCTTGTTTAATCATCACAAGTAGAAAGACCTGTGCCCAATTATCCCCATTTGCCCAATGAAAAACAGAGAGATCACATAATCTGCTCCACAGCCCAGAATGAGTTAGAAGGAGCCTGTCTCCCCACTCCCCAGGTTCTTTTAAGGACCAATCACAGTTCATGTTATATTAAAAAAGCTAGCTGACGGCAGTTATGTAGTACTGATGGGGAGAAATCAAATGCTCCTGATTTCTGAGAATCTTCAACATTACTGTGAATATGGCTTAACTTCAACACAGGTATGGTATATTCCTGTCTGTTCCAGGCCACCTAAGAATCAGGTATCAGGTTTAAGTCCTTTATTCGCCCCAGAATCCTCTTATGAATCCTATGAGCAACGATGGAGAGAACAAACAGGCAAAAGTAGCATTTTCCATGCCTCTGGCTCATCCTTGGCTGCCCCAACACCGCCACCAGGCACTCAGCAGGACATCCTGAAGGAGGGCAGACATCACCTTCTATGGGATTTTTCCTTTATTTGTAAAACAGTAGAGATTATGCCATAAGAATCAGCCAGAAGGTCTCGGCTCCACGAGAGCCGCTATCTGAGGTCGGCTCCCAGGGGGAGTGTATCATGTCATATCCCGGCAGAAAGGTTTCCTCTTCTGTAAGCTGCCAACACCGCATTCTTATACCTGTATTTCGAAAACTGTGTCTTTGGATGTGTTGTGTCCGAGAAAAGATTCTCGAGCAAAAGTAGACACAACACAGCTTCCCTGCAAGAGAAAGCAAACAGGCTTTATCACCTAATAAACATGTCTCAACAATCAATACTTATTTGCCCTCTTTTCTGAAGCAACTCTTAAGAGTCACTTGAATTCTATCACTACGGATAATTCTTGAAGAAATTGCATTTCCGCCTCCTAATGATCTTCAAACGAAGCAAGCGCCTCATTTTATTAATAAACTACCAACTGCCCAGAGGAGCTGGTTCAAAGGGGAGTTAAGATATAGCTAAAATTGAGGTCTTAATCATTCCGATGTGAAAGCACTCTACTGTGTTTTCGAACCTCACCAAGCCCGGTCTCCCAACTGCCAGCAGCAAGAACAAACAGATGTCAGGGCTATTTGTCTTCTTCAAAAATGACAGAAACTCAAAAATCTATCAGATGGATGTGTCAGCAGCAACAGCCCAAGCCCACTGATTAGTGAGGTTTATGCACCTCCATTTTGGCTCAGGACAAAATCACTTTCCAAGCTTTTTAACTATCAAACGCCCACTTAGATATACAGGCCAGAGAGATCTAGGGAGCATCTTTAGTGTGAGGTACGCTACACAATGTGGTCACGTTCTATGTGACTTTAAAGTATGCAAATTTGAAATGTGGTAGAATATAAAAATATTAAATAATGTCTCCTTAGGCACACGTGTGCAGGCCCCATGGGATGGTTTTTTAAAACATTAAGAACTGCAAAATTCCAAAGCTCAAAATTTGAGTACACTGTATACGGCACCTACACTATTGCCACATCCCAGTGCTATCTTATCTGCTAAACAAAATGCCTATATTCCTACCCCATTCATGCACATGCATTGGAACTTTATGAAGCAATTTTAATGATCACTATTGCTGGTATCTTAACTTCCTTGTTGTGATTATTTTAATGTTTTTTTATGCCTTAAAATAATACCATCCAAGTGGTTATGTTGGCGCTAATGCAGAAAAAATAAACTCTTGCACTATTAACTTTGGACTAGAGGTAAGATGTGATCAAATGCTACATTAAAAAAAGGCCAAACCACCACCAGGAGGCCACCTGATGTTAATTTAGGCAAACTCTAATCCCAGGGAAAGACAACTTTTTCTTAAAGGACCAGACAGTAAATATTTTAGCCTTTGTAGGCTGTAAGATCTCTGTCACAGTTCTTCACTTTTCTGTTGTAGCTGGAACATAGCCAGGAACATAGGTGTTTTCTAATAAAACTTTATTTACAAATGGAGGCCACAGGCTAGATTTGGCCCCCAGGTTACAGTTGGCTGACCTCTGCTCTACAGCTATGGAGCTAATCACCGCCCCCCCCAGCCTTTTCTTTTAATGTAGCATTTTACTGCTCATAAAAGGTAGTTCCCCCATCTACAAACATTCTCCCACTTCCAGTAGATATAATTTTGAGAAAATAAAAAGTTCCATTAAAACAGGAGTATTTCAAACTTGCCAAATTTTGTAAAATCAGTCAAGAAAATGAGCTAAAAGTAATAAGCTGGCAACAGCACTGCAGCAACAGCAATGCCTCAAAATGATCCATAACATGTTTTTCGTGATGCTTACATAACTGTACATATGTGTCAAAACTTACCAAATCCTACATTGAAATTAGTCATTTTAACTGTGCACAGATGATACCTAAATGAAACTCGTTTTGAAAAAAGCTTAAAGTCTCAGCAATAGCCCCTAATTTGCAGTAATTGTAGATCCAAGTGGTAAGAGTATACACCTCTTACTTCATGTTTGCTCCTGAGAAAACTGGTCATAAATTATGACAGTTAGAACTATGTAAATCCTTTGAGAACTCCATTGCATTAACTGCACCTGTCCTGCACTAAACTCGTAGTTATCCAGACCTCAACTATTTCACTTCAGCGAGGAGGAATTGGTTGCTCTTTAGAAACAATACAGGGACTTCCCTGGTGGCACAGTGGTTAAGAATCCACCTGCCAATGCAGGGGACACATGTTCGATACCTGGTCCGGGAAGATCCCACATGCCGCGGAGCAACTAAGCCCATGTGCCACAACTACTGAGCCTATGTGCCTCAGCTATGGAAGTCTGTGCACCTAGAGCCCGTGCTCCACAACAAGAGAAGCGACAGCAATGAGAAGCCCGGCACTGCAACCAAAGTAGAGCCCACTCGCCTCAACTAGAGAAGGCCCATGCACAGCAACGAAGACCCAACACAGCCAAAAATAAATAAAATACAATAAGTTTTAAAAACAGAAAAGGAAATACAAAGCCCTGAGTTCATGACTTAGCTCTCCACCACAGTAAAAGCAAAACAAAAAAACAAAAACATGGGTCATTTAAGACAGGAGGTAATACTTGTTTAGTTTCCTCTTTCCCATTAGCAACACTTTAAATCACAAACACAAGTTGATGATTTCAAATACGAGTTGTTGTTGAATCTCAACTCTTTTCTTTTCAGTCATCTTTGCTCCACTGTGGAGCCTGTCAACATTCAAGCAGGGGGAAGAAAAAAAGAAAAAAGGGCAAACAAGCAGAAGCAGAGATGCTAAAATCAGGGAAAGGCCCCACAAAGAAAATCATTCCTCCTCTGATTAATCTAAAGTCGATGGAATACGTGACAACACTTTCAAAGCCCCAGCTATTAGCTTTCGCGGGGCTTGCGTTTCACCTGTCTCAAACTCAGAGATGAGAACTTATTTAAAGCAATCATTCTCAAAGTGTGTTCCATGGATCAGCCTCACCAACATCACCTGGGAACTGGCTAGAAGCACAAATTCTCAGGCTCCCCTCCCTGCAGACCTAATGAATCAGAAATTCTGAGAGTGGGACTCACCAAACTGTGTTTACCAAATTCTCCAGATGATTCTGATACTCACTAAAGTTTCCAAATCACTAATTTAAAGTCTGAAAACCAAGGTACACTTGTAAGTGGAGTTTCCTCGTCCTCTCTTTTAACTTGGAGCTGACTTTAGATCCCACCCTGCAGGATAAGATGGGCTCTGTGCTCAAGTGCACAAGTACTAGTGGTGCTTGGTGAGCCTCACAGGAGGCCAGCCTGGAAAAACAGAGGGATATGGCCAAGTTCTTCTCCACAGCTTTTCCACGTACAGAGATGTGGGAGCACGCCACATTTAGATTCCATGCCAACATTTTTTGAGCACCTGCCATGTTCCGGGCTTGTGCTAAATGAAATTATCTTGCTTAGCCGTTCCAATAATAAATAAATGTATTAGTATGTGTTATGTATACAGAGGCTTGATATTAATCAGAATGGAGTCAAACCTGCAAACAAGCAGAAACCTTTGTAATTCTCCAATTCTCATTCACAGGCCTGGCCAGCACGCTTTGAATGCTGAGGTCCTCGTACACAAATATTCCTTGTGCTTCCTCTTTGGTTAACTGTTCTCAAACTTTATTGTATATCAAAATTAGAGACCAAGTTGCTTATACAAAACCATGTATACTCTAGTTTTAAGCCAACATAAGGAAATTTGAGGCAATTCTGAACTACCCACAACAATGTGTGCTCTACTCAAAGGTTTTACCTTCTCTCAGACGTTAAAAATCAAAGTCCAATCAATCTTGTAAGATGCAAATCCACTATACAAATTTATTTTAGGCTTTGAGTCTCTCAGATAATTTTGTTCTGCCCTTTCCACCATGAAGACCATTGTCCTTGAGGCAGACAATAAAAACTTAATAAAAAAAGGAAGTAATTCCAAAATCCCGCTGCTTATCTGTTAACCCTACATCACTTGCCCTAAAAGTGCCATGTGCTACAGCACAAGTGCTATATTCTTCATCCTGTGCCCGTGGCAGACATCGCTAATCAATCATAGTACTCTTACCCAGAGCTGGAGAGTTATTCTCAAGGCCTTGGAATCTTTCTCAATAGCATTTCAGGGAGCACCCCTGCCCCCAAATCGGGAGGAGTATTCATGACTGGTAAAATGTCTGTATTTCACTGGCCAATCAACATGCCCCTTTCTTGTCTTCTTTGAACAGTTGAAGCAGTTTAAAGCTGCTCCAAATACAATTTTAAACCCCTCCTTTCACTGTTCTCAGGGCAATAAAATTAAGCTTCAGTTAATTCTGAACTGCAGTCTCTACAAACCTATGCCACCTTGAGGGTGCTAATCATGGTGGATTGTGTTAAACAGTTTAAACAATTTGAGTGCAGTTGTAACCCAGAACGTAGTACAAAACTGCTTTGAAAATCAAAGAACCGAGTAAATAAAGGTACAGAACGGATAACAAAAACCTGTGAGGCAGTATCCCACGCATATAACGGGGAAATGTACAGCATGAATAGCCCAGGGAGGCTGATGCGTAATACTCAGGCTTATAAGCATGAAGACATGGCTTGAGTAAATAATTCTGATTTTGCTTTTGGTACTCACTGATGATTCTTTATTCAGCTAAGGGGGCACCACACTGTTCCTTTAACAGCATCTCCATTATTCTAATTCCCTACGGAGAGAAGAAAGAAAAATCAAAATGCCACATTTCACGGACAAGCACTTTTACATTTATCACAACCTTTCCCTTCAAGGAATCCAAGCCATGGCCGTATATTCTTTCCAGAAAACGCTCGTAGTCATACTTTACATTTTTATAAAATCCTACTCAGCAATTTCACATACATTATCTTCACATGTGCTCAGAACTACTCGGGGAAGCAGGCAGACCAGAACTGTGAATCTTCCATTTTAAATATAAGAAAGCCATCCAAGTGATGTTAAGAACTTCCTGAAAGTGGCCCAGTTACCGAGTGGCACTGCTAGAGCTGGAATAATCATGGTAATAGTTAATACTACAATAGTGACATTAAAAATCACAGATCACCATAACAAGTATAATGATAACGAAAAAGTTTGCAATTACTAAAATGTGACACAGAGACACAAAGTGAGCAGACGATGTTGGAAAAATAATGCCGAAAGACTTGCTTGATGCAGGGTAGCCACAAACCTTGAGCTTGTAAAAAGTGCAATATCTGCGAAGTGTGCTAAAGCAAAGCATGATAAAACGAGGTATGCCTGTGCTCACTGAACACTTACAAATGTGCTAGACTCACTGCTAAGGTCTGTATGTGCATTATCTGAGGTAGTGGGTGCAGGGTGCACCACGGAGGTACCCCCGGGACTCAGGCACTCCTCCCCCTTCTGCCAGCACCATAGGCTGGTACACAGCTACCCTCAGCAAAAGGAAGATGCATTCCCTGAGGTCATGCCCCTCTGCAGAGGTGGCCCACATCTCATGGCTGGTGGGTATAGTGTAGAAAGGCCCAGCCCCCGCCCACAATTCGGGACAACTCTGAGCAACATCCCATCGCCACAGTTCCCCACGGGATCAGCTGGGACCTACATCACAACTGCATCGCAGTTCAACGTCACCTTCTACCTAATCCTGCTTGCCTCGCTCCCTTACAAGAGTTGTTTCCGAGAGCCCTCTCCAGTGACCCTCCACATAAAAATGTCCATCTGAGTCTGTGTCCGAGAGCCGACTAGGACACCTTGTTTAATACACACAAAATCTATGAACAAGTACTATTCTTACCCCTGTTTTACTGACGAGAAAAACAGAAATTCAAAGAGAGTTAAGTAATTTTCCCAGCGTTATACAGCTATTAAGTAATAAAGCCAGGGAAGGAACAGACACTGAATTCTGGTTTCAAGGGCACCCCTTAACCTTGCAAGGCTCACTCCATGACTGTATGCATCAAGCTGTTTGTACGCATCAAGCTGACTGCCCACCCACCCCGGCCGGTCAAATTCTACCCTGGAAGAAAGAGGAAGCAGATACTCCCTCTTTCCTCCTTCAAGGACAAGTTCTGTACCAGAGGCTGAACCTTCAGATGGAAAGGCAGGATTGTGATGTAATTATGAACTGGGGTGTTAAGGAACTCAAAGCTGGATTGTGGGGAATGGGACACAATGCTCTCAGGGACAGGAGTGTGGATGACAGGGAATAATAATGATCAACACTAACTTAAACTGCAGGTCCCCAGGCCCCGCACAGGAAGGCTTTGATTTCATAGGACTCAAGTAGGCCCCAGAGAGCTGTACCTTTAACAAGTACCAGCTGCTCGCCATGGTCAGGCAGGGCTGGGAGACACTGAGTGGGCCTACAAGTGAAAGGCAGGGACTTCTTACCTGGGGTTTGTTCTGAGCCACGGGAGGGGGATGCACCTCGAGATGACAATAAAATATATTGAGTACCAAAGTACACTGAACAAAATCTAACGTTTCCTTGAGGTTTCCGAAGGTCCTTCAGATTCTAGCTGGCTGTCACCACAAATACTGCCACTAGCCGGAGAGGAGGAAGTATTAATTAAAGGATCTTGACAATGCCAAGGAGCACGGACTGTGGGGTGAGCCAAAACAGTAGGCTGTAGGACCAGGAGCCCTGTTGTCAGAGTCAAGAGACCTGGGTTCTGGTCACAGCCCTGCCAATTATTCTGCTGGGTACCTTAGGCTAATCACTTTTACAAAGTTGTAGCTTAGACCAGAGAGCTAAGGGGCCTGGGAGGTTGACTGGATAGTGCAGGCACACACCAGAACTACTGGGGGAAGCCACAAAAGCGAATACAGATTCCCAAGCTCTACCCAGACCCATTCAACCAGAACTTCGAGGGCTGGGGCATGGAATCTGCAAACATTCCTCATGTGGTTCTGAAGCACAACTAGCTCATATACTAGAATTTGTAAAAAGCAGCTTGATACCACCTCTGCAAGCCTGGGAATTGAGGAAAAAATGGTCCTTAATCATTTGTGAAGATACAGTATATACTCTTGTACTCTTAGAGCTACTCACCTTTTTAAGAATTAGGGGGAAAAGGAGGGGTTGGGGGATGAAACAACCAGTGGAATGAAATTTAACTTAATTCTTAACCTAAGATCTGAATTGTGCTCACTTCTGCTCTCTCTCCCTCAACCACAGAACAGCTAACAAATATTTACTGTGTACCTGCTATGTGCACTGGAGATTAAGTGGTGAACAAACCTAAGTCCCTGCATTCATGGAACTTACAGACTAATAGATTTCATTCCCCTTGTCTCAACTTCTTTTGTTTGTTTCAACAAACCCCTGAGCAATAATTAAATGCCTTCCTTCTATTTTCAGGAAGAATAAAAATAGCCATGTTACGCCACAGTCGCAAGCTTCTTTTTGCACAGTGGGCCCATAAGTCTTGTTGGTATGTCTTTAAAACCAGAAAAGCAGACTCCTTCCTTAGGAAGTGAGCACAGGTAAGCTCTTCCCGTCTGTCTAAATTAAGAACGCCACCATCTACTGAGCTGAGCACTAACTGACATAAGTGAAGATGCTGGGGTTTGCCTTGGGAATTGAAAGACATTATTTATTGAATCAATTATGCTCACACTGTGACAGTTGATTTTCTTTCCCTTTTTTGCCCCTCTCTCATACCACTTTAGTCTTTTTAAGCAGAACAGTTAGAAACAGAAGGTGGAGAACAGGGGCAAACAGAGAGAGACCTATAAATGAATTAAAAACAAAAAACAAAACACCTACCAGGGAGGCCAAGCCATTATTTAGTCTGTCTCTTTGGTAAGGAAGGACCAAATCAAAACCCAATCGATAGAGTCCTTTTGAATAGTTTCAATGCTTAAAATTCAACCCCTAAGAGATCAGGCTTAAAGGGGCTAAATTTACACCACTTATCACACAGTGATGACTGAAATGCAGAACGAATATTACGTGGATCCACCTTTATAGATAGAGCTTAACTTAAAAGCTTTTTGGACTGACAAACCATAAACCAGCTTGATTTTATTATGTCCTTCCCCTCTGAGAATTTTTTCTCCCTGTTAGCAGGCCATCTTTTTGTATTTGCCAAGGTACAGACAAGGGAGCCCTCTCAGGCTCATTTCCCTAATACCAGGGCTGTGCTGGCCAGACACGTTCCCACAGAGGAGTCCCAGAGTCACGTCTTTCAGATTCAAAACACTTCACCAATTCCCCACTCTAGAAGTATCTGAAAAATAGCTGATATTACAGAAAACGAAAAGCTTGCCTGAAGAGAAGGCAGAATAAGTTGGAACTAAATGTGGCTAGATCCAGATGCTATCTTTATTTTGTTATCAAACTGATGCTTCCTTAAGAAGCTCTGATTTACCTATGAGTCCCCGAAGAGGGCTGCATGAAGGGAGGACCTGCAGAAGCTGCTAGAAGATGAATGGTTTGAATAAGACCCAAGCCTGGTTATGAGTGTGACATACAGAGTGAGGGGAAGGTCCAAGCAGAGGAGAAGAGGGTAATATCAGACGTTATGAAAATTACAAAGTTCTTGGGGAGTTCCCTGGCCATCCAGTGGTTAGGACTCTGTGCTTCCACTGCCAGGGGCCTGGGTTCGATCCCTGGTTGCGGAACTAAGATCCCACAAGCTGTGCGGCACAGCCAAAAAAAAATTACAAAGTTCTAAAGCAGTTCTCAAAAGACACATATATAGGGAGCTCTTAACAAAAGAGAATTGCTCAGGTAGTTATCACAATGATAAAAGATTGGCCATAATTAGACGAAGAACAACTGTTTGTGTACTGAGTGTTTACCAGAAGCTAGGTACTGTGATAACCAGATTACGCACTGGAAGACCTCTCCTCCCGCCACTGAAAACAAGCTTTCTTTTGGATCATGGCTTTGGAATAAGTACCGGAAACAGTATCCATGCCCACCGTGTGTAAAAGACTGCACTGCTGCTGTGAGGAATGAGATGCATATAAGACTTGATGCTTCTACTCAAGAGGGCATCATCGGTCTCTTGGGAGGAATCAGAGGAATGCAAAATAACTGAAAAACAACACAGCCTCTGAGAAACATTACCACACTTGGGGGAAAAAAAAAAAGGTCAGTGGAAGAAGGGAAGTAGAGACTGATCTTGAGTGAACGGAGGACCTGCAGAAGCTACTAGAAGGTGAATGGTTTGTATAAGACCCAAGCCTGGTTATGAGTGTGACATACAGAGTGAGGGGAAGGTCCAAGCAGAGGGATTAACAAAAGGCATGGGGGTGGGAACATCAGTCCACGTGCAGTTAAGCGGACTGGATGCAGCAGGAGATGAGACTATTACACTTCCAATGTTTCCACTCCCCCGCGAACTCCCCACCTGCTCACACATACTCTTCCTCCCACCTTAGTTCTGCTCTTTCCTGGAAGAGACAACAGCACATAAAACATCTCACAAATAGCCCTGTAATTATGCAACAACACTCTTAAAAGGTTTTAGGGTTGAGTCCAAGCTAGCTGTGAAAACTTGGGCACTTTACTTAAATTCTCCAACCTTCAACTGCCTCATCTTTGAATGGAGATAATATAGTAACATGGGTTTGTGCTAAGAATTTGTCAAAATAATGTCTGATCTGGTTTCCACAGTACCTAGCCTCTGGTAAACACTCAGTAAATGGTTGTTCATCTAAATCTCTTTCATGATCATCTAATCCCACTAGAATTCAAATCCCATAAGGCTAGGGGCCTCGTCTGTCTTGTTCAAGATGGAACCCCTAGGAAAACAATGCCCAGTACACAGAAGGCATGCAGTAAATGTCTGCTGAATGAACAAATGAATCTATCAATCAACCCATCAACCATCAGCTTACAAGTCTGCCACACTAGATGGTAAGGTGCTCAGAAACAGGGAACAAAAGTTACTTACGTTTGAATCCTTATTGTCTGGTGCAGAATCTGGCACAAAATACATGCTCAATGTTGATGAATCATAAGACGGACCAACTGATACTTTTGAATGCCAGGCTGATGAGTGTGAATTTTGGAATTATAGTGCGATCTGCCCAGTAGTTGGCATCCTAGAAAGTGTGGTGAAAGGTCAGGATAACAGGGGCTGCCATAGGAAACGAGAAAAAACCAAACAAGGAAAGAATAAAGAATGAAAGATAAAAGGAAGGGAATACTGCGGAAAGAACTGACAGCAAAGCAGGGACTTAAAATGAGTCCTGAAGAATCCTGATTAGCCAACAGGAGTTAGAAAGTGACATAATCTCAGATGCTGAAGTGTGCATTATAAAACCACTCACCTTTTGATAAAAAGGCACACATCGAGTTTACTTTAAAAATCTCACTTCCCTTTTGAATCTAAACTTTTTTTATTAAGTTGGTTTACATAAAACTTTCTCGGAATCTTTTCATTTACTTTATGTAGAATCATAACAGTATGAATAAATGGTAGAAAAAAGAAAATGTCGCTTCCCTGCTTCAACCCTTCAACAGTGTTCCACTGCTCTTAAAACGTAAGGCTCTGTCTGATCTGCCTCTAACCCACTTCAACCGCAGGGAGGGGAGAAGGGAGGAATCCGCATTCAGTTTTCTCATCAAAAGATAAGAGAGGGGCTCCCCTGGTGGTGCAGTGGTTAAGAGTCCGCCTGCCGATGCAGGGGACACGGGTTCGTGCCCCAGTCCGGGAAGATCCCACATGCCGCAGAGAGGCTGGGCCCATGAGCCATGGCCGCTGGGCCTGCGCGTCCGGAGCCTGTGCACCGCAAAAGGAGAGGCCAAAAAAGGGAGAGGCCCACGAACCGAAAAAAAAAAAAAAAAAAAAAAAGGTAAGAGAAACACTGCTCAATGCTTCTCCAGGAAAAGATTCTTTGCCACAATAAAGTATCTTTTAATCTGATGCTGTCCAATTCTTTTATATTTAGGATTTCTCATCTACAAAACTAGGATAACACCAAACAACAGGAGTTCAAATGTAGCGGAACATACTGTGTGCCAGGAACTGTGCCGAGTACTTCATCTGCACTGGCTTATTTTACCCTCCTATCTGCCTTAGAGAGTATTTTCTTCTTTTGGATGAGACCCAAGGCTCAGAGAAATTAAGCATCTGGACCAAAATCACATAATAACCAAGAGGTAGAGCCTTGATTTGACCCAAGGCAATCTGGATTAAGAATCCAGGATCCAGGATCTTACAACACTGGGGGCTGTAGGGTTTTAATGAGGTTGCATGTGTGAAGACACCTAGTATGATGCTGGGTACACAGCAAGGGCTTTCCTTCCCTTCCCTATTGATTATGTTCAAAAAGCCTCATACATAAAGCAGGTATTTCAGCCCTACGCCCAAACTAAATGGCATGATTCTTAATATACAAATCAATATTTAATCGCATCTACAAATTATTTTAAATATAATGCTTTTCAAGTAGGAATATCCTAACAGACTGTATGACTTCAAGATAATTTTCCCACAGGGGCTAATAAACTATTGAGTAAGATTCACTTTTATTTTGATAAGTAACTCAAAATCTTTAGGTGTAACTGCAGAACATTAAACTGATACAGTAATTTAGATGTCTTTGCTTCACATTATAAAGCTTCCTCTCTCCTTAAGGAGAACATTTAATCCCACAGTTTGTAAAGGAAAAGAATATATTCCAAAATAATAAAATCTAAAAATTGGAAAGCACATTATATTATCTAGTCCAGATAGGAAGCTCTCAGCAAAGAAATGAAAGTGGCCCATCCTGTTTAAGGAGTTGTCCTGGGGTCAAATATCACAATGGAAGATGACAAAGCCATTTCCCTATTGCCAATTTGCAAATAAACCCTGATCTGACACGAACCTTTTGTTGGCTAAAAGGCATTTAGTCACTGATCTCCCACCCTCCAGTGTGACTCAATAAGTCTATTTCCATTTTTAGTTTTTTTAAATGTGACTTGTATATAATTTCAGTTTTTCTGACTTAGACCATGCAAAATGTGGCTTGTTCATGTGTATCTGTTGGGTATAATTAACAGTAATTTTTTTAAACATCAAAGCCAGCCTCCCATGCAGTGCCACATCCACCCATGACATTTCTGACAATTGTGATCTTGCTTAAAACCTCCATGGATGGGATGCTTTATACTCCTTATTCCCTCTGTCTCAGGCCTAATTGTAAGACAATCTTCCTTACATTGAAGCAGCACTGGCTCGGTGCCTGGCACCAAAGGGTCCTAGTACCAAGCCTTGTACCAACTCTTATACTACCAAACAAAAAAACCAACAAGGTTCCTATCAATTCCCTTTATTACTATTTTTTTCACTATTCATCAGATTTAAGCTCAGTCATAATTTCCCCTTGTTTCTTCCCTATTCTGAGAGAGAAAATGGTTAGCAGCATGCTTGTACATTTAATCAATGAATTGTCTCTAACAGAGTAAGTAAATTCAACTGATGCCTAGACAATAAACAAATCCAGTGGGTGCCCAGATAATTCTCTTTTTATCTTAAGTTCGTATATACCCTATCAGAGAGGGGACGGAGATTTAAAATCAGGTTGGGTTGACTCCAAAACAGCCTCATTATAACCGCTAAACATTTGTCTATCATGTCATAATGAAAAAATTAAGTTTTTGCCTATAATTTCCTTGCATGTTTCTTTTTAAATAATAGTAACAACTGGGACTTCCCTGGTGGTCCAGTGGGTAAGACTCCTCTCTCCCAATGCAGGGGGCCTGGGTTGGATCCCCAGGCAGGGAACTAGATCCCGTATGCCGCAACTAAGACCCGGCACAGCCAAATAAATAAATAAATAAATATTTTAAAAAACAGTAACAACTGATCATTTACTGTATGCCAAGTGGGCTCCTAAGAATTTTATGTATGTAACTCATTCACTCCTCACAAGTACTCTCTGAAATGGGTTCCTGTATTATCCTCATTTTACAGGTGACAACAGCGAGACTCAGAAAATTAAACGGCTTGCCCAAGGTCACACAGCAGGTCAGTACAGGGTACGCTGCTTTCAGAGAGCGCGAGAGCAAAAGAACATAAATGGCTCTGCTGCAAATATAATTTGAAACATTTATGTGCAGGTAATACCTACTCAAAAACATTTTATATAAAATGTTTTTTCTTAAATTCTGCTTAAAAACGGAACAAGTCTTTTTGGGGGGAGTGCGGCAATTGTTTAAATTACGAAATAGTTCAAACATATCAAGAAGTGCAAAGAGTAGAAAAACTAGTGGACTTTAACAAACATCAATGTCTTTAAAAGTGACAAAAGCTACATCTTCACCAAAGGCCAGTGATCAAGAAAATTTTTAATTATAGCCTTTAAATTCTTCTTAAACTGGGTATCAACAACTCAACTCTCAAAAACCCACCATTTTCCTTTACCAAGGAAATTCAGAAAAAAATAGTTTGGCCAGAATCTAAGAAAGCAAGCTAGACAAAGAATAAGGGGTCAAATCCCAGGCAGCAAATGGAATTCTGAGGATATTGAACGTGACAAGAAATATCACTCCAACAAACCTGGGTTCATGAAATACAAGGCTTCTTTTCTCCTTAACAGGCAGACACCCCAGCGTCCTCCCCACCATCTGCTTGGGGCTCTACCTGGTGCCCCTAGTCCCACACAGTGTGGGCACACCAAGGGGTCCTTCAGCAAGAGATGAAGTTCTACCATAGAGTGGGGATACAGAATAAGAAATGACCACTGACAGAAGGGGTGAGAATGACCAAGAGGAACAGCTGGACACCTCGGAGAGCTCAAGGGGCATTTAATTAGCATGCTCCAGGGCTTAAGCACACAACTGAAGTTTAACTATTAGATGTACCTTCAAGAAATTAAATTAGCTTTGCAATTCAAGTTGCTCTGCCCAGAATTCTGTATTAATCCCTGACCTTGTTGGTCAAACTAACAGACTTAATTTTGCGCCAAGAGCCTAGCTGAATCCAAGCCCGATCCTACAACAGATTTGATCCACCAAAGATCTGTGACTAAAACACTCTTAGTCCACACAAGCTGTGGATGCAGCCCCTATCTTCCTGCTATTTCAATGCAGCCCAGCCAGAGTTGTTTCAGTTTTCAATTCTGTGTCTGCCTTAGGTTTACATGAGGTACGTGAAGATTTATGGTGGCCACAAATTCCTATTTTCTCATTGTCTCTGAATTTAGCACAACAAAGTACAAGAACGGGCTCAGAAAAGTAACAGACTGGTTGGAAATTCCATCCAGAACAGTGAGGAGAACATGGCTCCCAAATTTCCAAAGATTCCAGTCGGCTGTGAGCGTAAAAGAGCAACAGCAAAGCAAGTACAATACTGTACACTTCAAGTGTCTACTTCAAAGTCGTATGCGTACTAAGCTCTGTACACTGGCTAATGACACCGTGCAAGTAATTTAACCTCCGTGTGCCTCCACTTCCTCATCAAGGCCTGGCTCCTGGTAAGCACTCAATAAATTATAGCTACAACTATTATTACTGTAACTGGCTTTCTCCAAATTTTCTAGAAGAGTCTGCATTTACAGAAGACACAGACTGAAAACAAGCCAACATATCTATTACCAGGCACCAATACTCAAAGACATTTAAGAGATTTACAAATCTTTGTAATATGCGGTGGATTCAGCTCACGTGCATAGGATTTTAAAATGAAATTGGAACATCAGTACCACGTGCTTACTACCCTCTCTTGCTAATTAGTATTTTTTAAAAGCACGTGTCTGGGAATTCCCTGGCGGTTCAGTGGTTAGGACTTCGCGCTTTCACTGCCAAGGGCCCAGGTTCAATACCTGGTTGGGGAACTAAGATCCCACAAGCTGCGTGGCATGGCAAAAAAAAAATGTAAAAGTGTGTATCTTATTTTTAAATATTTTGTTACCAACACCTCAACCCTTGACCATCTACTTGTTACATGAATTATCTCTGATGCTCTTGGATCCATACTTAGCTTCAACTCCTGAATTTTTATGCAGACTTCAAGGCTTTGTCAGACAAATTTAAAAATATTTTTTAACATCTTTTTCGGAGTATAATTGCCTTACAATGCTGTGTTAGTTTCTGCTGTATAACAAAGTGAATCAGC